CTAAGCAGTAATACTTTCCATAGAAGGTATTATGATCACTAACTATGACGTACATTTTGCCTCATAAAAGACCATCGGAACGGACAAGGGACACACACTCACGCTCACACACTCTCTCTGATACACACAAGCAACATGACTTTTGCAAACACACGTCTGAGAAGCTGCAACAGGTGCATACTGAGATCACTTCCAGCTACAATTTAGTCACATCCGGCTTCTCCTGCTTTACAAAGTCATTGAGAAGGACAGCATGGAAGGACAGGACAGCCATGACAGATAATGGTGACTTTTTTCTTTGAACTTTCGCTTGTCATTTTTACAGTAGTTGTATCTACATGGAACTGTTCATAATACGCTTTACATTGTTTATTTGACACCATTGTGTGATAGAATAAAATCACACTTCATTTTTTTTATTTCAATGGCTCTTTCATTCATAATCGCCTCAAGACACTAGAAGAAGTATTATATGTGTCTAAAAATCCAACAAAGGCAGACCATGGAATATGACTTTCTTATCATTAAACAAATATCAATCAGATATTTCCAGACAACTAAGGGAAAAAAAAAGAAAATAAATTATATAAATGAGAGGTAAGCTATGTCTTTCACTCTGGAGGTTAGAAGGATTCTGACTGATGACTGTTCCCATAATAATTTTAGGGTGATTTATTATGATGTTAAGTTGCAATTGTATATCTTTACTGTAACCTATGCCTTGCTTAGTTGTATGTATTACAAGGTTACAAAAACACAGCACATTCAAAAAGCTGATGGTAATACTGAATTATTTGCGAAAATGTTTCTGCTCTAATGCTTACATTATACAGTATATACTGTGTGTGTGTATGTGTATATACTGTGTGTATATATATATATATGTATGTATATATATACATACACACACACACACACACACACACACACACACAGTAATAAATATATTGGTGGCATTTAAGGACTAACACTACAAGAGACACACATTACTAGCTAAGACTCTTGCACATGGATTCCCTAATAGTTTTGGGATAAAGTAGACCGTTTTTAAACTGTATGCAAACCCAAAGCCGAAAATTTTATATTTTGCAACATATCACTGTTGTGGCACTGTGGAGTTGTTTTTATGTGTGGTTAGATGTGCTGGCTGCATTCGCTTTAACTTTTTCAGAACATTTTCAGCAATAACAGCAAATTCTGGTCGATCTTTTCCAGAAATATTGTGACCTTTTCCTCTGACCATTTCCTATAAGCCCAAGCTGTCGTAAACACATCCCTTGGGGGTGCATCATTACACTGGCATGTGCCCACAGTACTACTGCATTGTTTGGCACCCATGTGTTGATACAGGTCTCAAAAGGATGGTTTTTAAAGAATTGTTAAAGCACTTTAAAAAAAAAATTACGGGTATGGCTTTTAAAACATTGTTACACTGCTCCAGCTTTTTTTGGTACTCATTCCATTGTCTGGGTGACATGAATTCTTCCACAGGCTCCAAAGGACACCAGCTGCATCTTTACATCAAAGGTGTACATTACCGGTCAGATGGGCTTGGAGTGCAGCAGTGTGTCAGTGTGTCATTCTCTGCATACCCATAAGGGTGCTGAAAAGGGTCATGTGATGGCAGACTTAGGCATGCAAAAAAATATAGATGAGTGTGTGTGTGTGTGTGTGTGTGTGTGTATGTATATGTATATATATATATATATATATATATATAAAACACTGCTCAAAAAAATTAAAGGAACACTGTTTAATCAGAGTATAGCATCAAGTCAATTAAACTCCTGGGATATTGATCTGGTCAGTTAAGTAGCAGGGGGGGTTGTTAATCAGTTTCAGCTGCTTTGGTGTTAATGAAATTAACAACAGTTGCAGTAGATGAGAAGAAAAATGGTTTTACAAGGCCACTGACATTTTTTTCCATACTCATCTTTTCTGACTGTTTTCACTAGTTTGGCTGTTTTCATTTGGCTAGGGTCAGTGTCACTACTGGTAGCATGAGGCGATACCTAGACCATACAGAGGTTGCACAGGCAGTCCAACTTCTCCAGGATGGCACATATATACCTTCTGGCAATGGCACAATACGTGCCATTGCCAGAAGGTTTGCTGTGTCTCCCAGCACAGTCTCAAGAGCATGGAGGAGATTCCAGGAGACAGGAAGTTACTCTAGGAGAGCTGGACAGGGCCATAGAAGGTCCTTAACCCATCAGCAGGAGCGGTATCTGCTCCTTTGTGCAAGGAGGAACAGGATGAGCACTGCCAGAGTCCTACAAAATGACCTCCAGTAGGCCACTGGTGTGAATGTCTCTGACCAAACAATCAGAAACAGACTTCAGAATGGTGGCCTGAGGTCCGATGTCCTCTAGTGGGCTCTGTGCTCACTGCCTGGCACCATAGAGCTTGATTGGCATTTTTTATTGAACACCAAAATTGGCAGGTCGGCTACTGGCGCTCTGGGTTTTTCACAGATGAGAGCAGGTTCACCCTAAGCACATGTGACAGACATGAAAGGGTCTGGAGAAGCCGTAGAGAAAGGTATGCTGTCTGTAACCCCGTTCAGCATGACCGTTTTGGTGGTGGGTCAGTGATGGTCTGGGGAGGCATGACAGTGGCACCCTGACTGCCATTATGTATCGGGGTGAAATCATTGGAGCCATTGTCCGACCCTACACTGGTGCAGTGAGTCCTGGGTTCCGCCTGGTGCGCAACAATGCCCGGTCTCATGTGGCAAGAGTATGCAGGCAGTTCCTGGAGGATGAAAGCATTGATACCACTGAATGGCCCCCACGCTTACCTGACCTAAATCCAATAGAACACCTCTGGAATATCATGTTTCGGTCCATCTGATGCCACCAAATTGCACCTCAGACTGTCCAGGAGCTCAGTGATGCCCTGGTCCAGATCTGTCGTCTCATTAGGAGCATGCCCCAATGTTGTCAGGCAATTATACAAACATATGGGGGCTATACAAACTACTGAGTACCATTTTGAGTTGCTGCAATCAAATTTCAGCAAAATGGACTAGCCTACTGCATAATTTTTTCACTGTAACGAAAGTGTGAATTCAGTCCTCTGTAGATTGATATATTTAATTTTCATCAAATGATGGGGCATCCTTACATTCCTAACACATTACCCAGTACATATTAGTATAGCTATCCAGCATGATATTTTTCCCCATTGAGATCTGATGTGTTTTCAAAGTGTTCCTGTAATTTTTTTGAGCAGTGTATGTATGTGTGTGTATATGTGTGTGTGTGTATATATATATATATATATATATATATATATATATATATATATACACCATATAATTTAATATTTATATCCCCAGTGGGCAGCACACTGGCTAAATGGTTAGCACTTCCGCCTGGCAGTACTAGGGTCGCTGGTTCGAATGCTGACCACAGCACCACCTGCCTGCAGCTTGCATGTCCTCCCTGTGACTGTGTGGGTTTCCTCCAGGTTCTCCAGTTTCCTTCCACACTCCAAAGACATGCTGGTAGGTGAATTGGCTCCTGTTTAAATTGACCCTAGTATGGGTATGTATGAATGTGAGTTAGGGACCTTAGATTGTATGCCCCTTGAGGGTTAGGGACTGATGTGAATGTACAATATATGTATGTAAAGCACTGCGTAAATATACGGCGCTATAGAATTACCTGAAATAAAATAAATAAAAATTACACAATAATACAGTATATTTGTAGTAGCTTAACACTGATGTGTAGACTTTTCTTGATTTACTATTTGAATGAGACAATGGGCTCTAATAATTCAGTCTATATGTCCAAACCATTAATAGGTCAATACAACCTTACTGTAAGGCTTTGAAAAACATTTGCCTCCAGTATTCGAAAAACTAGATATTAATTTCTTTCTCCACGTACTGTACCTTTGTAATGATTTGCCTTGGCCACTCAACAGTAGCCATTGTCCTACTTAGGTTTTTCTTGGCATTGCATAAGTTTAAAGCAATACACCCTGTATCGCTGGGTTTATTTTTATCTATTGAGTCTGATGTACGCTAGTTAGAAATGTCAATGGGAACATCAAACTCGAAAAATGCTTAACATGTTTATTACATTTGCGAAGGACACACAGTTCTGAAATTATTTTTTTCTGGTTTAAAACTAAATATATTTAGTTATTTTTACAACTTTGCCAATAGGCTATTACAATGGTGCTTATAGAAAGAACTGGGTTTGCAAACAAGTGCTAGACAAAAAGGTCCTGAATATTAGTACACCAAAATATGTAATACTGGCTTATACTCATTTCCAGCCAAAATATTATTTTTTTTTTTTTCTGGAGTGGTTGTGACCTCTTTCACATTTCTATTGCTATATGTGTCCCTGTTGGAGAGGTGTCACCTCACTTTCTGTCCTGGTAACTACATTGAAAGTTAGGATACTGTATCTCCCCAATGGAGATGCAGAAAGCAATTAAAAAACAGATGGAGGTTCCTGACATTCCTCACTCTACTTTAACCACCAGCCTACAGGGCACTTATACCCTTTTCAGCTCTGATGCACTTTGAATGACAATTGCGCGGTCATGCAACACTGTACCCATATGAATTTTTTTATCATTTTTTGTGACAGACAGAGCTTTATTTTGGTGGTATGTAATCACCTCTGGGTTTTTATTTTTTCTTAAACCAAAAACCACTGAAAATTTTGAAAAAAAAGTTTTTTCTTAGTTTTTGTTATAAAATTTTGTAAATAAGTGATTTTTCTCCTTCACTGATATGCGCTAATGAGGCTTCAGTGATGGGCACTGATAGGCTGCACTGATGGACACTGTAAGGTGGCACTGATGGGCATTGACAGGCATCACTGAAGGGCACTGAAAGGCAGCACTCATATATGGCACTGATAGGTGGCACTGATAGGCGGCACTGATAGGCAGCACTGAATGGCACTGTTAGGTGGCACTGACTGGCACTGTTAGGTGGCACTGATAGGCAGCACTGACTGGCACTGATAGGTGGCACTGATGCACACTGATAGGCGGCACTGAATGGCACCGATAGGTGGCACTGATTGGCAGCACTGATAGGTGGCACTGACTGGCATTGATAGGTGGCACTGACTGGCACTGATGGGTGACACTGAAAGGCAGCTCAGATGGGCACTGATATGTGGCATTGATGTACACTGGTAGGCACTGAAATGTGGCATGGATGAGCACTGACAGGAGGCACTGCTGGGGCTACACTAATCATCAGGGCACACTGATCATCAGTGCCCTGATGATCAGTGTACATGTCCCCTCTGAGGGATGCTGATTACCGACTCTCCTCATGAGCTGTCAGCGTGACAGTTCGTGAGGAGAGAAATGCCAGTAACCGGCATTTCCCTATTTACATGCGATCAGCTGTGATTGGACACAGCTGATCACATGACCGAGCCGACATCTTCGGCTCTTTCCGTGGATCGGTGATCCGCTTTGTCTGAGGGACACAGCGCACCCCCGATTGCCGCGCTGTGTGCTCCCAGAGCCGCGCATGCGCGGTTAGAATGGGAGGATGTCATATGACGTCCTCCCAGAACAAGAGAACCGCCTTGCGCCCATCATTGTACTATATGGCGGGTGGGAGGCGGTTAAAAAGTTTTATTTCTGTTTGTGCTGTCACTGGAAATTTTGCTTACTTCCTGTCTAAGGACCACACACACAAAAAAATAGAGAACATCTCTCCAATGGCTACAGGACAGCAATGAAAAAGGTCCTAACACTTCCCTACTCTGTCCAAAAAAAAGTTTTGGCTAGAACTCTGCCTTAAACCAAATCCCAGGAGAAACTAATATTGTGATTCAGACACTCCTATCTCACTGCTAAACCATGTTTGTTTTCATAGTTGAGGAAAGTTGAAAAATAGAAATGGACCCTTACAGTTGTCTTATTCGGGTTGCTATCTTAAAGTATTGGTGTTGATGTAAATAATCTTGTTTTCTGGCAATCAGCTTCTACATCCTAGAGATCTCCAGAATTTTCTTGGCTTGTAGTGTAATGTAACAAAAATGGAAATTTAAGCACCACAACATTGCTAGGATGTCCGGACTTTATTCCGATACATCAGTTGAACCATCCAAAAAGTAGCCAAGGTGTTTTGGGGGTCCAAAGACACCTTCTTCATCAATAATGGGAACAGACTAGCAGTGAGCTACACCTTTTTAAGATTTCTTGCAGTGTGATTACAAGCGCATGCCTTGTCAGCAGCTGCTTATATGAGCTTCAATACATTTTTCAAATGAATACTAAACTGTGTTCACTGTCATTTTAGCATCTCATTATTTGGTAAAGAATTATCCTTTTAATACATAATAGTATTCATAATAGTATTTGTTAGGTGTGGCTTGGCATTGTATGATATTTCTAAGGCAGCCCAGAGATGTTTTGATTTTCTTTCCTTCCTCTATGGGTAGAAGGAAAAAAAAATCTTGATTCCACTATCATCAGTCAGTGTTGATGAAGGAATGCTTCTCACAGCGTTATTGTGTTCTGCTGGTGGGGTGTGTGTGGGGGGGGGGGAGCTGGCAGAACACAATGATTACTGCTAGCGGCTATACCCCCAGGCAGTTATCACATGTAAAAAAAATTGACATCCTGGTTGTACACAAGTAAATCGATGGATCAACTTGGATACAATCAGCGTGCCCATTCATGGATTGAAATTCTTCTAGTCCCTGCTAAACCATCTGAATTTCGATCCATGTATGGCCAACTTAAGTCTGTGTTCTACAAAGACCTTGAAATCATTTTACTTCACAGCTTCCCCTAGTGTATCACCTCCTATTGAGTATTTGAATGCAAAATTTTAAACCCTAAAAGCATACCTTTACACTTATCAACATCAAACTTTATCTGTCAAGTAGTTGCAACACCCCCCTACTTTATTAAGGTTTTCCTGTAGTGTTACTATACGGTATACCCGGTGCTGAACCTATTTCCTTACATAATCTGATATCTTCTGTAAATACTGAGATTGACATTAGTTTGACTTCTTCAGTTTGGGATGCTAAATGACTGTGATCACTCAGAATCATTGACATGTCCATTTGACCTTCAGCTCACATCCTTCTGACCTACTGCAGACATATTTTTGCATTTCCATAGATATATATTGGAATACATAACTCGTTTAAAGCAAACAAAAGACCATCAACACAAGCTCTAAATTTATTTGATATCTGTGTCTGTCTCTGCTTTATTTAGTTTTAGGATTTGGGCGAGGGAGGGTTACATATGATAGTCAGTCCAGTGGTCCAGATAAAAGTAATGGTTGGGGTGTGTAAGAGGATAATTTTTTTTATATTTTTATAGAGAAACTGGGTCTTTGACATTGAAAACCAACATAGCATGAAAACCAGGCACTGGAAGTTACGTTACAATACAGTTACAGAATGCATCATTATAAACATTTTCTGCATTTTGCCCACTCAAATTTTTTTTTTCACCTCAATTATATTGGTGCAGAAAAAAGTTAGTTGGCTGAGAACTGAATTTCCATGCTGTGCCAGCTGTCCCCAAATAGATACACTCTTCACAGCTTGCAGTCTTTCTTCCAGCTCGGCCAAGACTTTAATGAAAGCTGTTGCGCATAATCCATTGTGAAGGTAGTATGCAAAATTCACGTAGTGTTTGTTTTGCTGCAAGCAGGAATATCAGGCTAACAGTTCTGTAAAAATGTTTTTTTTTTTCTGCATCTGTGTATGAAAACAAACAGAAGGAGTAATGCCTGCTAACATGAAAGTCTTTTTTTAACCACAATTCAGATGTTCCTGTTGTTTTGAATGTTAACATTCTCATTAGCACAAATGCATATGTTTCAATATGGTCATTTCTATTAAATATGAAGTGTCAAGTTGACCTTAGTCATAATTTCTGCATATTAGTCGCTTCTATTTTGCCTGGAAGTAGTTTTATATTTAATTACATTCTCCCTTTATACAATTTATTCCTTAGTATGATCTTTCTGAATGCTTATTTTGTATTTTATTTATTCTTATGAGTAATCTATAAATTAATGTATCTCTTTGTGTACGGAACAAGATTCTGAATTCTAACCCAGGGGTCTCCAGACATTTTAGTACAAGAGGTATATCATATATTTTACTAATATTCACAGTCCCTCGTATTAATCATATCACAACTAATCAGAGTCCCCCTTACATCAGAGTCACCATCAGGATCCCCCTTACATCAGAGTCACCTTTAGAGCCCCCCCCTCATCACCACCACACCAGGGTCCCCATCAGAACTCCCACTTACATCATGGTTCCCATCAGTTTCTTCCTTACCTCAGAGTCATCATTGAGGCCCCCTTACATCAAAGCCTCCCCTCCTTACACCATGGTCCCCATCAGAGTCCCCTTTACATCAGGATTACCCCTTACATCAGAGTGTATCCCGCATGAGGGACCCACCAGAGGCTTACATCAGTTGCTGTTATTGGTTGCTAAGACACCAGAGGGAGACTGCTATGGAGACTAGAGGTGGGGGGGAGGGTAGACCATGGGCAGAAGGCTCTCTTTTCCCAAATTCTCAATCTGTGCACATTGTGTCAAGCGCCTGTGGTAGTGAGCTCTTGTAGAGCACCAACTCGGGGTTCCCCAGGGTGCTTCTTCACCAGAGCCCCTGATGGCGGGGAGAGACTTGCAGCAAGCTAGAACCAGGTTGCGGCCCCCAAGTACACCCAGCAGAGGATGCTGAGATTGCTCGCATGAGCAGACTACATTGGCAGGAGCAGAAAATCAACAAGCCGAGGTCAGGACGGGTGGAAAACAAGCACAGTCCGGACGAAGCCGGGGTCGGTACACAGGTAGTCAGATACAGGATACAGGAGCAGCAACAAACAGGAGCTCAGGGAACTAAGAAGTTGCTCAGGTAAAGTGGGCTAGACTGAGCATGTCTTATATAGATAAGGAAACTAGGAAGTGATGGAAGGGAAGGAAATAAAACTCAGAGAATAGCAGGCGACGCCCATAGGTGACACAGACAATCCACACATGTGGTTTGCAAACAGGAAAAGCATTGCAGCAAGGAGGTAAGAATACACAAACAAGACATTGCAGGATAACTTGTGATACATTGAGAATAAACCACTGACCTTAAATTAGTAGCAAACCTACCTTGTTTACTTGTACATACAGGTAAGCCTAAAATAAGACTTACTAGTAGGTACAGTAAATATCTCCTAAATGTGAACCGTTTAGGAGATATTTACTACAGTATAGTAGCAGCCGATGACATCACCTGTGCAGATGCACTGCGCTCTCACTGGACGGCGTGTTGTCCTTTGAGAGAGCTGTGCTGCGGCCCTGACTCCCACACGCATGCTTGGGAGTGATGTCAACACAAGTAACGTTTTAAAAACATTTTTTGTTTGGTACTAGCCATAACATCGGTACTAGCCAGAATCAGTAAATTGCGGGATGAATAGGGAATTACAGTAATAGAGCACACAGAGGAACATATATTTTTTTTTTTTTTTTTTTTTTTTGAGTTTGGATTGAAGTATTTGTTTACCCAGAATTTTTCTGATTAAGTGTATCTATGGTCAAGATGTAAAATCATATATTCATTCCTATGTTGTGTTCCAATTATTTCTAGCCTACTCCCATAGTTTCCAACATTTCCCAAATATTTTTAGGGGCACGTTTTTTTTTTTTCCTGTATGTCCAGAAAGGTGATATGGGTGGAGTATCGATTTTAATTGGGGGTGGGGCATTCAATTGTGGCTATGACTCAACATCAATTGTAAAAAAAAAAGTTGCGTGAAATGGGGCCTTAGTGATGGCGTCAGCAAGCAGTGACTGTGAGAAATTGAGTTTAAAACTACACTGTTTTTGACTCACAGTGCTACATGAAAACAGAGATACCATCTTTGTCAGCAAACATCACATTTTTCTAAAATTTTAGATAGAAGTAAAAAAATCTCCATTTTCATGTAACACTGTCTTGACAGTGAGAAATTGGACAGTGTAGTTTTAAAACCAATTTCTCACAGTCACTGCTAATGCTACAAAAAAAAAGGAGAGATATGCCCATTGCAGACTTTTTTTTCACTTCTGTAATAGCAGTTTTGCAAATCCCTAGTGCCAGCACAGAGCTTACCTCCTTTGCTGACACTTCACTAGTAGAATGAATGGGGGCTGGGCACAATCATCTCTGATGCTGGCTGCACCCCTTCCCACCAACTCTCACTTCAAAGCCTCTGTACCTCCGGGATGCTAGGGATGCTGAAGACCTCACTGTCAGCTCCTGGACTGAGCTGCTGGGGGAAGAGGTAGGGGGAGGGATGGGTCTCCAACACCGTTCTGTGTCACTTGCCCTGTTTTGTGTCGCTCCCTGCCTGGCAGCTTAGGCAATCCAGTGACAGGTAACGTCCCAGCCTCTTCTACATTGATACAAAATTGGCCGAGCGTTTAGTTTATTAATA